TAACTTAGTTACGTTACGTTAACGTTAACGTACGACCGACCACTAACTAACTACTACTCGACTACTACTACTACTAACTAACGAACCAACTACTAGTAGTATACTACTCTCTCTCTCTCTCTCTCTCTCTCTCTCTCTCTCTCTCTCTCTCTCAAGAGTAAGAATTTTTCTATGTTGGGTGGTTTTTCTGCTATGGGAGAAGTTGGCGTAGATGGCACAAGTCAGAAGAAAAACAAATGTTGTCTTATGAGAAAAGGTAGGAGTTGGAATGCATTTCTCCGAGGGCAAGAAAAGGGTTTCGGAACATTCAAATTCAAGACCTTTAGGATAATCATTTTTTTCTCATGGAATAAGATTCCAATATTTATTTTTCCTTTTATGCAACCTATGGCCTATTTGTCTAGCAATAACATGGTGTTCCTCACAAGAGATAATATGGTGTGGCATTAAAGGGAGCACAAACACCGCACACACACACGCACACACAGCTTATTTCTTCTCTTTTCTACATGTCATATTTGTTTCTTCATGTTCTCATACTTCAGTTTGCTGCATTAAGAATCTTCTCCAATTGTTCATTACTGGTTTACATAAGAAAGCTTTTTGATCTTAATAACAAGATTGGATCTCCCTACAGCTGTTCCTTTACTTTATTTGCAACTTTGCATCATTGTACATGTAGAGCTATTTTAAGCCTTCTACAACTATATCTTAAAACCCATGGGCTTTGCACATGGGAATCCTAACAACTGAAATAGAAGATTCCCCCTAGATACACTTCTATGATGAAATTTTAGCACTGATTTTGTACATAACAAAACTATGGAAGATTACAATCAATTGAAGTATGATTATTAGCTATGTCCAGCTTGGTTCTTCAGAGGCTCCACATTTTCATCTACCTTAGGCCTTGTGTTCATGATTACCTAAGGAAATCATGAGACAATGCCCCCGATAAGAAAAACAGGATAGACATGCAAGCAGAGAGAGACAGAGAGTCGTATGGAAGGACATACCTTCCTTAGCATAGTGTTCTCATTGATCAAGGTCGATATTTTCTCCTCCAGTTTGGCATTCATATCCTGCAATTCAATGGCTTTGGATTCTAGCTCGGTCATGTAAACTTTCTTTCTCTCCCGTGCTTGTTGTGCAGAGACCCTATTTCTCAGCAACCTACTGCGACAACAGATGGCCATCCATAATCATAAATCACATCTGAACAAAAGAATTAAGGAATAAAACAGAGAGATGTGCATATTTTATATTTGGAAAGTGCAAACAAGCTAGATTGATGCAGCACTAACATGTTCAAATATCATAAAAAACTTACAGGTCCTCATTAGAAAGTTGTAAAGAAAATGCCTTTTCAAGCCTATAAATCGCTCATGCCCTCTTTGAACTTATCCCTCACATAGAAATAAAATACAAACAACATAAAACATAGCATAAGCACTTTGCAACAGAAGCCACAAAGATTATAAAAAGAAATATGCTGGCTGACTAATATTCAGGAAATTAAAAAAAAAAGAAATTAGTCAACCTAGAGAGAGATCACTAGACAATATGCTTATACTCCCACCACACACCTCAAATCATATTTGTATAACAATTACGCAAAATAAACACAGAGTTCCATTAAGCACAACCCATAGCACTAGGTTACTGGAGACTTCTATAAAATCTTTTAAATGCAAAACTGGTCCCGCACCCTCACACTTTCACCTTCACACAAACAAACATGAAAACGAGAGTGCAGATTAGCAAAGAAAATTGCATTTATATCCCACATCATACAATATTTGTATTAAATTTATTCAAAACAACCATCGTGTTCCATTAAGCACAACCCATAGCACTAGTTTGCTGGAAATTTCTCAAAAATCTTTTAAATGATAAATTGGTCCTTCACTCTCACACTTTCACCTTCATATAAACATGAAAACGGGATTGCAGAATAGCATTTCTTCTCTTTTGTTGCATCAAAATAATGGAAGAATGAACCTAGAAGATATTGGATGGGGCAGAAAAATCCAAAGGAAACAATTAGTGGGTAACAAGCAAGTACTATGGGACTAATGGGCAATTCTGCAATTCCCTCTCAAGGATTACGGGAAATTTCTAAGGAACAATGTGCAGAGAATTTTTTCTCCATAGAATGGGCAAATTTTCCAAAATTTCCATTATAAAAAAAAAGTTGCAGGAAAGAAGCTTCTTGCTGTCATTTCAGAAACCCCTCAATTTTGGACTGGAGTATTATTGACACCGAGCGACTACAAGACGCATTTCTCAAGTGTGAAAGAAGTACATAGAGGGAAATGGAATTGTTCCAAAAGTGAACAACTGATGAACTCACTCTCAAACAGAATTGGAAAAGCCTTCAATGTAAAGAGAAAGGCTTCCCATACCATCACTCGTATAAATGCTTTGTGGCCTACACATACAAAATTTCACATGTATACTTCATGAAGCTAACTTCTCTGACATTTAAATTTGAGATATCACATTTCACCAACTTTAGTACTGTATCAAAGGGATCAAAATCAGCTGGGTTTTAAATGAAATTTGGAAGGCAATTTTATATTTGAGTGCAATTTAGAAGCCACATATCAATTACTTAAGGTCAAAACTACCAGAGGAATTATTGTATCCAGCCAGAAAATGAATACATCAGCAGAATCAGCCCACAAAGCAACAATAGAAAGAACCATCTCAATGATGATATTCATGATTTGCAAAAAAAATTATAAAGAAATACCCAATAGAAAAAACATTCAGCCAAACTGGATAAAGACCAATGTTCAAAAAGAACCATGGTAATATAACGGTAATGGCAGGACATTATCTAAATTTCCCTTTCCATCTGCCATTATTACCATTGTGATACTATTATAACAGTGACAGAGAACAACTCTTGGCTGTTCTTATTGTAAATAACATTATTTTAAATCTTGGTTAAGTTGCAAACTATTTCATGAATTAAGTCCTTTCACTTAAAAGATACACTATGCTGAGATTGTATTTGTTCCTTATGGATCAACGTTGCGGATAAAAACTCCTATGAGTTGGTAAAACCATTCATAATAATGTGACTATCTGGAGTTCATTATCAATGGCTTTCCCTGTCGCAATTGTCCATTGCTTCCATGTCAAATTTAGTTGTTTTAACTGGCATATAGATAATCTAACAAGTTTGAAAAGCAATAGGTTTGAAAGCTTGAGACTGGCTAGAAATCACATGCAAGATCTGCCAATCAAATAAGCAATGCTGGTAGGAACACACTAAGAAAATGCAGTGAAGAGGCTGACAAACTTTTCATTTATGCTCATAAGAGAACATCCAATGGCAGACACAATAAAGCACTATCAATTGTTCCTCCTTGACGGCAGTCTTACTTTTCAGATAGAACTCTGGCATCTTTCTTTGGAAACATTTAACCACTAGTGGACTCTGGCCTTTAGGCTGTTCACTCCTTTTTGTGACTTTTATGACCGAGAAGCTTTTATAATTTAGATTTAGTAGTTATTGGGGATGTTTCACAACCTAAAGCCTTTAACACTAAAGATTCTGCCAAAGGTAAAGCTTTTGTTGTTTTTTTTTTAGGGCCAAATTTTAAGCATTAAACTACAATCTGATGGCAAGAATCTTTATAGAAGATGATAGATGGTGGGTAGCAGTTGGTAGTCAAACAGTGACTGAAAGAAACCATTGCAATTTCTCAGAGAGTGACTAAGTTTCTATGGCCTATAAAGTCAATTGTTTTCCTTATACTGCCTTTTCATATTTCTAGTAAAAATATATATCCTTATCGTCTGTCTCCAATTATAATAGCAACACTGTCCATGTAATGTAACATGGCATTGTCATAGAATGTCCAACCATGTCACCAAAGAGCAAATGTCAGTCTAGGGGGAAGGCATCACAAGGTCCTGGGGTGGTTGGGGCTACCTTAGACAGAAGATGGGGTTCTCGTGAGTCCCAAAACCACCATTCGACAGCCCAAAAAGAAGGAATGTCCATTTTAAACAAGCTGAAATTGAGCCTCTCTTTAGAAATAATTCCTTGGTATCTATGATAAAAAAAGTCTAACACACCGTCCTTCCCCCACCAATGCACACTTCCCAAGAAGCCTAGACAGAAACTACTACATTCCTCATTTTCGCATAGGAAACTCAACACCTTCTAATCTACTAGAATTCAGAGGTTCCTTTCATTTACAATTGGGAGTTCATGCCCTGCCCTTATCTCCACACCCTGGAGGGAATTCTACCATTTCAAGCAGTGTAAAAACTTGGCGAGTCTAACTTGGATTTGCCAAAGTCTTGGAACCGGCACATTGCCGGTTGGCGAGTCTGACTTGGACTTGCCAAAGCCTTGGCATGGGCACCTTGCTGGTTCCAAATGACCGACTTGGATAACCTGCGTTTTAACCATGTCTTACTAAGTGTTGACCAAGTGTGTACAGCTCTTAAAAAGGAACAGTAATTTTGGTGGGAGTCATGACCAAGTCAGAACCTTGCCATGGTGAGTTCCTCAGGTTCCACGTTTTCGGACATTGATAAGAAGTATAAATATAAATTTATACAAAGTAGGGAAATGCAGAAGGCGAATTAGAGAGAAAAAGAGAACTTGATGTCAACTAGAATGCTATCAATACAAGTCCAAAGAATTATGGCAGAGAGATTCATAAACAGTAGAAAAATATTTATGTACAACAGCAAGAAAGCAGTGAAACAGGGTTGAAATGCCAATAAATGCAGATTCTAAATATTTGAGTTTCAAAAAACACAAGAATATACTGGAGATTCTCGCATGATTTTGATGATGACAACACAGTTTTTTTAACAACCTCATACTAAAGTTAACGCATCAATCCCTACTTTCAACTAGAAGTTCATATGTGCCTAATGCATATTAGTCCCCAAAAAACATTACAAATTAACTACACTACCCCAAATTACCAATCAAAGTGGCAGAAATGTGGATGCGCAAAAACCCTTTATATTTGGATATTTTTGGCAATCAATACACGAGCAACGATAACGAAGAGTTATAAAGAGAAAACCTCTTTAATCTTCTGTACTCTCTATCAGCAGGGTTACGGCTCCTTTTGCGCTGACTAATCTTGTTTTGTTGGACTTCTACCTTTGCAACACCAGACTCATTTGCAGGAGCTTCCATGTCAGGAACGGTGAAGATATCCTCATCACTTTCCTCTGCATGTAGATCTCAAAAAAATCAAACTGGATGTGTATGAAGAAGGCCTGATGTTAGAATAAGATAAAGAAAACCCAAAGGAAGCAAGACTTGATAAAATTATCACATATATATAAGATAGAAAAAACAAAATTCAAAAGACCAAAATCTTAGTCAAAGAAGACAAATAATAATTTCAAAGGAAGAAACCAAGTCAGTAACCTGAACATAGTGGAAACATGAAACCCAAGAACAAAACCATAGCCGATACCCTAGAATGAAAGAAACCCTAGAACCATAAAACCAAAACTAATTGATACGCCACAGAGAAACCCTATTCCAAATGAGAAAGAAATGCCTTAAACAAACCATGATTTCATCTGAACAGATCTCTGATAAATGCCTCTGGATGAAAAGAAACCCTAACAATCTGGACTGACAAAACCACTGAGATCATAAGAAAAAAAAAACCAATGTGACAAAGTGCGAAAAGTTTATGACCACTGACCAACTTTGCTCTTTGTAGAGAGAGGGAGAGAAGCCACCAAAGAAGAGCTCTGATTATTGCCTTGGGCCATTTGTGAATCGGGAAGCGGCATTTTTGCTGGAATGTTGGTTGGAAATTAGGGCAGCGGTCACCTGAAAAATGGAGAATGCAGTTTGAAGGAGAAGAATGGTAAAAAAGAGGCATTTGATTTTTTTTTTTGTGGGCAAAGATCTACTGGTTAAGCAAGCAAATACGTGGAAGCCTTAGCGCTACTGGTTTTCACTTTGTCATCAGTTTCATATATTTGTACAGATAACGGTCCTGAATGGTAGTTTCCTCCCCGCCAATTCTTTTTCGAAAACTCTTACAGCATGTTTGGCAGGGCATTAAACGCATTTAGGTCTTTCTTCTTGTAATTTTTTTCAAAAGGCACCTATGAAGTTTGGGAAAGCTACATAGTTTTTGTGTGGCCCTGACAACATATGAATTATATATGGCCATACTTTTCTTTTCAGCCATTTGATCTAAATCGATAGCTAGGATTGCTCGTCACAATATTACATCAAAACAATATTTGACTTTTAATTTTATTTTACAAAAACTTTT